CTTAACCAATGTGCTGTCCCACCTTCCAGATGGTGCTTCCATCCACAGCAAGAGTCAGCCCACCTCGTCTCTGGGGTGAGCCTGTGGGGAGGAGTATGAGGGAGCACCAAGGTCTTGTCCTCCCAGAGCCAATTCTAGGTCCTCCTGCTTGTGGAAGCTCCCCTCCCCCACCCTCCTTTCACAGATACACAGTGAGAGCTCAGCAGGCTAAGTTCCATGCCAGTGGGATCAGGGCATCATCCCAGGCTTCCTGTGAGAGCGGGCAAACCACCCACTCCAGATACAGGGCCTGCACCCAGGGCCTTGGGAATATTAGCCGCCATCTGCAGAGGGTCTACGTCATCTCATCTTTATGAGCCCTCCTCCTGAATACCTCTCCCCCAACCCAAACAAGTGTTATCCCCTTTCCTAGACAAGGGTGCTGAGGTTTGGAAGTGGGAGGCAACTCGTCTGCTTGTGCTGCCTGAGCTATCTGAACCCAGGCCTGGCTCACTCTGGAGGCTAGATCTTTCCGCTTGGCCGCGGTAACTGCAGCCTTCTCCAAGGTTAAGTAGGGGCAGGGCCTTCCTGGAAACTGGGGAAATAGGAGGAACAAACTCACCAGCTGGCAGGGGTGAGGCTGAGGAAATTCAGACTGTGGGCAGCCTTTGCCCTCCTTTGGTCCTAGGAGGGGTGAAGTGGGTCTCCCGTTAGGAGAGTTGGTGGGTGTTATCGTACACAGTGGGCGTGGGCACAGGGGGACCCTGCTGTCTGCTTTTGAAGCATCCTGTCTCCAGCCCCTGGGGTCCAATCCCTGGATTGCTTTCTCAGTGTCCCCATGAAAGATGGAAGGAAGGCAACTCCATCCTCAATACCTTATCCTTGCACTCAGTGTCCAGGGCAGCAGTCTGCTGTTACCCCAGGGACTGGAAGTGTGATCCACGAGTGGGACCAGGAGGCAGCAAGTGGACTTTGCTGCAAAGAGGTTTTTAACTTCAAGTGTCCCCAGAAATGGGCCGGGTCAAAGGAGACATGGGGGTGGGGAGTGGAGGGGAGGTGGGGACTGGGAAGGCTTTGCCATTATTCCAGTTCTGCTCGATCACAACAGTTCTTGGAAATTGCCTCAGATCTCACAGCATTTTCCTCTTAATAGCCTCGATCGTGGTGAATCCTTGGCCACTGAGGGTAGGTTTGATTTTTTGGAAAAGGCCAAGAATAATTTGAAGCTGTGTATTATGAATAAACAGACAAGACAGTTTCAGAATGTGGTTTGTTTCGTTGTTGGGAATTTTTTTTTTTTTTTAGGTTGAAAGCAAGGTGGGACTCAAGAATTGAACCACTTTTGGAATTCCCTGGCAGTCCGGTGGTATGGGGCTTCCCAGGTGGTGCTAGTGGTAAAGAACCTGCCTGCCAATGCAGGTTAGATGTAAGAGACACAGGTTCAAGCCCTGGGTCAGGAAGATCCCCTGAAAGAGGGCATGGCAACCCACTCCAGTGTTCTTGCCTGGCGAATTCCCATGGACAGAGGAGCCTGGCAGGCTGCAGTCCATAAGGTCACACAGAATGGGACACAACTGAGCAATTTAGCATAGCACACAGCCCCGAAGCTTTATTGTTTTAGCCAGTGGTTAGGATTCAGGGATTCCCTGGTGGCTCAGACGGTAAGGAGCCTGCCTGCAACGTGGGAGACCCAGGTTTGATCCCTGGGTCCCCTTGAGAAGGAAATGGCAACCCACTCCAGTATTCTTGCCTGGAAAATCCCATGGACAGAGGAGCCTGGCAGGCTACAGTCCACGGGGTCTCAAAGAGTCGGACACTTACCTTTCCTCTCACTTTCCTAGGACTCGATGTTTTCACTGCCGAGGGCCTAGGTTCAATCACTGGTAGGGGAACTAAGATCTCACAAGCTGCATGGTGCAGCCAAAAAAAAAAAAAAAAAGAGAGAGAGAGTGAGGGAATTGAGCCACTTTTCTCACAAGAAATTTCCAGAAGTATTTCAAGTGATGGCAGTACTTTGAAACCGAGGTGTGTGTGGAGGTGCTGGGGTCTGAAGGTGACCACTTCAACAGAAGGGCCAGGGAGGGGAATTGATCCTTTATGGAAGCACTGCATGTGCCGGACACTTTACATACATTATCTCAGCTGCCTGAAATCATTTTTGGAATAAGGCTGGCCTATAAAAAAAATTCATCAATAATCCATTATCTTGTGTACTCTGTACTTCTCTCTGTAATCCTGTTAGAACAAGTGCTTAGCCCATTTCACAGGTGAGGAAACTAAGGCTCAGGGAAGTTAAATGACTTAAGAGCTTGTAAGTGTCAGGGTCAGGATTCAAACCCAGGTCTGACTGGCCCCAAACTCAAGGCTGATTCTTTTTTGGCTGTGTAAGTTCTGGCGTGCCCAGCGCACTCCTGCTCCCCGCCGGCCCCACCGCCAAACACAGATTTAGTTTCATTATGTCAAGGTGACGTCATTTAGGCTACATCCACCACTTTAAAAAAGAAAGCAGGTCATAAAGGAGTCATATGCTTGGCCGAAATGCTGACTGTGTGCGGCGGCAGGCGGCGTCAGCAGGCGTCAGGGGACGCGTGGGTGACAATGGCAAGGCGTGAAGTATGGTGTTTATTAGGCACTGGCAAAGGCCTGTGAGTTCCAGATGCCAAGTTGTGATAAGTGGAAACTGCCTGTCTCGGCTCCAAACTCGGAGCAGGCTCCCAGGTCTGAGCCTTTAAGTCAGCTGGATGCTTGGACAGACTGACCCTCACCACTGGCAAGACAGGGCCCCCCTCTCTCTTGTCGTTATTATTATTATACCAGTGATAACTCATGCTGATGGAACACTCCTTATGTGCCAGGTGCTGTGCAAATGCCTTACCATGATGGATTGATCTCTCTGTATAGTCTCTCTCCCTCTTTTTTTTCTTCTGGCCTTGCCTCAAGGCTTGCAGGATCTTTTTTTAATTAATTAATTATTTTGGGCTGCACTGGATCTTCGTTGCCATGTGTGGGCTTTCTCTAGTTGAGACAATGGGGGCTACTCTCTATTTGTGGTATGCGGGCTTCTCCTTGAGGTGGCTTCTCTTATTGCGGCTCAAGGGCCCTAAAACGTAGGCTCAGTAGTTGTGGCCCAGGGGCTTAGCTGCTCCACCGCATGTGGAATCTTCCTGGACTACAGATCGAGCCCGTGGCCCCTGCATTGGCAGGCAGATTCCTAAACACTGGACTGCCAGGCAAGTCTGGCTTGTGGGATTTTAGTTGCCTGACCAGGGATCAAACCCACATCTTCAGTGCAGAGTCCTAACCATTGGACTGCCAGGGAATTCCCTCTCTGCACGTTTTTAACCTCTCTGACTGGAAGTGAGGGTCTGCATACTCTTAGCTCCCAGCTGGGTCCTCAGCCATGCAAGTTGGCTCCTTTGAATCCAGTGAATAAATGAAAGTCGCTCAATTGTGTCCGACTCTTGGCAACCCCACAGACTATAACATGTCAGGCTCCTCTGCCTATGGAATTCTCCAGGCGAGAATACTGGAGTGGGTTGCCATGCCCTTCTCCAGGGGATCTGCCCTACCCAGTCACTGAACCCAGAATCCAGAGAACTCTTTCCCAACATGCAGTCCTAACCCTTGCTCTGATATGGCCACATGGCAGTGAGGGACCTGGGGTCCTGTGCAAGGAAGGGGTGCAGGTAGAGGCTCGGTACACAGCAGCTCCTCTCCCAGAGAGAGAGCTCCAACTGGACTTCTCAGCCACAGTCAGTCACATCTATCTAAATATAGCAATTCCACTTCCAGGAAATTATTACTGATTCCCTTGCACCTGTGGGCAGAAATGCACATATAGGAATGTGCACGTTATCATTGCTTGTAATAGCAGAAACGGGAAGCAACCTAAATGTCCATCAGTAGGGGATCGATTGGGTAGATTACAACAACCCCATACAATCGGATTCTGTACTCTAAGGAATGGGTGACTGTGTAGCGCTGATATGGGCTAGATGCCAAGATGCATTGCTAAGTGAAAAAGCAGTGGTAATATACTGCACTCCCATTTGGATTTTAAAAAGAAAGATATGCTTGTATGTGATAGAAATTTTCTGGAAAGACCACAAAAGAAACTATTAACAGTGGGATGCCTCTGAAGAAAGATACTAGGGACTGGAGGTCTGGGAGAGGAAAGGAGACTTGTTTTTCATTGTATTCCCTTTTGTGTTTTTTGGGAAAAAAAATTTTAAACTATGTGCATGCATTATCTTTTTGATTAAAAAGAAAGTATGTAGGGGGGAGGGGGAGTTTAAAAAAATCCCCAGGTTTTTATCTGGCTTCTCAGGTACTTTTTCTTCCCTGTCTCTGTGGCCAGGTCCTGCTGTTCTGACTCACAGGCCATTTCTTAGCTCCTCTCTCTCAGCCCCAGTCCATGCCCACCCCTCCCCCAGGATCCATTACCACCTCTCACAGGTACTTAAAACCTACCTTTTTGCCTCGAAATACAAATAACTCTAATCTAGAGAGAAGGTTGAGCTTCATTGCACTTACAGAACAGACAGAAATCAGCTGGCTCTGAGATGCTCGATAAATGTTTGCTGAATTGAATTGAATCTGTGACTCGGTTGGTTACACCGAGCAAGGCACTAATTGGCCAAGGTCAGCCATCCAAATCCCACACAGGTTGGCTCTCTGGATCCAGAGAGGGGCTCTTTCCCTTCATGCATTCCGAACCCTGGCTCCGACGTGACCTGGGCGCGCTCTTCGTGTATACCATTTCTTCTCCTAGAGACACAGCTCAGAGTGACTTGAGGAAGCAGGATAGAACAATGGTGTGATCGATGAGGAGGTCCAGCTCTGGAACGATTCTGACTCAGAAGAGCATCTGGAGAGGACTCCCAAAACTCCATGATGACATTTTTTTTCTTTTAAGTATTAGCCGCTTTGATTTTTTTTTTTTTTAATATTTATTTTTAGCTGCGCTGGGCCTTTGTTGCTGTGTGGGGGCTTTCTCTGGTAGCGGTGAACGGGGGCTTCTCTCTAGCTGCAGTCTGCAGGCTTCTCACTGTAGTGGCTTCTTTTGTTTCGGAATATGGGCTCTAGCGCTCAGTAGTAGTGGTGCACAGCATGTGGGAACTTCCCAGATTAGGGATCAAACCTGGGCGTCCTGCATTGGCAGGCAGATTTTTAACCACTGGACCACCAGGGAAGTCCCTGACCAATTTGATTGTATTCCAAGAAGTTTTTAACAGCAATAGAAAAGATGGCATCTTCTGTGGCCATGGCAGTGACTCACCTGTTGCTATATATGTTCAACCTGAGGCTGGAAGACGACCACTTCGCAGGCATTTGTAGGAGAAGTGAAAGCTTCAGTAGTTGGTTGTTTCCGTGGACTACATTTTTCGTGTTTATGTTGCACATAACATAAAATGTACCATTTTGAGCGGTTTTAAAGTGTGCCGTTTTGTAGCATTAAGTACCTTCACACTGGTTTGCAACCCATGATGACCGTTTTTAATGGGGCATGGTTGTTAAAAAGTAGAGAAAGGCCACCAAATTCATGGCCACTTGATTTCTGCTTAAGGAGCTCATCCTTGCTCGGATTGGCCTGTGTCCCACATAAGTCTTGCAGATTCCAGCTTCTGAAACTGCCATCCAGGGGATTCCTTCTCTGGTCTCTGTAATCATCCACAGGCATTGACAGTCCGGTAGAACACCAGAGCGGGGAGGGGGTCATGGAAGACTCTAGAAACAGAGATATAGGTATCATAATTTGGTGACATTTCTCCTACTATTTCTTTTTTTCCCCCTGTCTCAAAAATTCTCTAGCCTAGTGGAAGGAAAGAGTATATACCCCTTGCCCATGATCACTTTCTCATTCTTGAAATAAAATCCCCACCCCCAGCGGTTCTCCAGACCTGGCCAGCGTGTGATGCCCCAGCACCTCTCTCCAGACTGTGATCCAGCAGCTTGCCGCGGGCTCCGCCTCCCTCACAGTAGAGGCTTCTTGTCCCCATAAGGGTTGTTCTGATGAAGAGGCGATTGCCTGCAAGCGCAGTGAGTCAGAAAGTTTGATGTGCCTTCCAAAAAAAAAAAAGAACCCCAAGCAGCTATAATCTTTGGCCACATTAATAGAAGTGTCCAAATCTAGGACACTGAGGGGCCTGCTTTGCTATCTGCTGAGCACCCACTGAGTCATCCACTTTTTCGTCATCTTCCACCAGTCCAGCCCATCCCCTGCACATTGCTCAAACGTATCCCCCTCTCTCCATGTCCCCTGCTTCTACCATTTTAAACCAGAGCCCTGCATCTCACGCTTGGACTATTGCAGTAGTCTCCTGATTGGTGTTCTAGCTTCTTCTCTTGTCTCCAGGCTCTGCACTACAGAAAGGTGATGTTAGGGAAAATGATCTGATCATATCACTTTGATTGTTTAAAATCCTCCAGTGGCTTCCCACAGCTCTGGGATCAGAGCTTTCAGGGCTTCATGTAAACTGACCCCTCCTGTCTACGCCTCTGATCACACCTCACACAACTTACCCCTCTTACTGATTTTCTGTCCCTCACTGTGTCAGTCTCCATCCTGGTCAGGATCCTCCCACAAGCAGATGATGCTGCCTGTAATGTTGCCTCTGCCCCACCCCCTCATCTGGGTAATCCCTTCTCTTCCTTTAGAGCTCAGCTCAAATGACCCATCCTCAAGAAGCGGCCCTGAGCCCTCCAGACTACAGCAGGTTCCCCAGTTACAGGCACCCAGGGCATCCAGCACTCATTCATTTGGTCCCTGAACAGACATGTAATGACACCTGCCAGATACTAGGAGCCCGGATGGTGAGGACATAATGGTGAATGAGACAGGCAGAGCCCTGCTGTCATGGAGCCCACATTTCCAGGGCGGGTCAGGGACGAGAAAGCAATGGCAGGCTGATGAGGACTGTGGAGGTGAGCACAGAAAGTGGCCATGGGTAGTCTGAGATAGGTGCTCAAGGAAACCTTAGGAGGAAGTGACATTGATCAGAGAGCCAGGTGGATGATGGATAGAGTATGTGGATGCTGGAGCAAGAGAGGGACTGGGCTGAGGGCAAAACCAGAGTAAAGACCCTGAGAAGAAGTGTGCCTGGCGTGTTCCAGGAACAGCAAGATGGCCCCAGTGGCTGGGCCACAGGGACCAGGGGAAAGGAGTGGGCAGAGTGTTCAGTTCACACGAGACCTTTTGGGTCGTGGGGAGATCATGGCAGGGTATCCTCAGTGTGATGGAGACCCATGGAGAAAACTAGCTTATATTTTTTTCTTTTCTTATTTTTTTTAATTGGAGGATAATTGCTTTACAATATTGTGTTGGCCTCTGCTATACATCAGCATGAATCAGCCATAGGTATACAGCTGTCCCCTCGCTCATGAACCTCCCTTCCATGTACCTGTACATCCTGAGTGAGTGAGTGAAAGTTGCTCAGTCATGTCCAACTCTTTGTGAGACCCCATAGACTATACAGTCCATGGAATTCTCCAGGCCAGAATACTGGAGTGGGTAGCCTTTCCCTTCTCTAGGGGATCTTCCCAACCCAGGGATTGAACCTAGGTCTCTTGCATTGCAGGCAGATTCTTTTCCAGCTGAGCCACAACAAAGGAAGCCCAAGAATACTGGAGTGGGTAGCCTATCCCTTCTCCAGGGGATCTTCCCAACCCAGGAATCAACCCGGGGTCTCCTGCATTGCAGGCGGATTCTTAGGTTGTCACAGAGTACTGGGTTGAGCTCCCTGTGTCACAGAGCAAATTCCCACTGGCTATCTATTTTACATATGATAATGTATATGTTTCCATGCTATTCTGTCAATTCATCCCACTCTTTCCTTGAGAGTTGGAACACTCAGTTTAGAAAGGCCAGAAACTCAAACTATTGAAACAAAAAAAGAAATCTTCCAGGCTCATAAGACTGCAAGATTCATCTTCAGGTGTGACTTGATCACCAGGACTTGGTTTCTGCTTCTTAGCATCTTAGCATGACTTCTCTTGCGTCGGCATGTGCTCAAAAGGCCCAGCAACTCCAAGTTCACGCCCCCCCGCCCATCCCCCCCAGAAAGAGAAAGCTTATCTTTCTGGATCTGACATCACAACCCTGGTTTGGCCCTGAACCAGTCACTGAGGCCTGGGAGAGTGTGCTGATGGGGGACTGTAACTAGAAGGTGGGGACTGTGTCATGGGTGGCCAAAACCCCACGGAAGTTGCAGTCTGCAAGTGATTTGCTAAGAAAGGCCTTTTTCTTTTTCGCACTTGATGATGTACTCAGAACCCCATTTGTTCTTCTTGTCACCATGGCAGCCCCGGAGTCACCCCACTTGTCTTGTTTGACCTCCTCATTTTGCAGGTGAGCAGGCTGAGGCTTAGTAACTTTCTCAAGGTCACACACTGTGACTGCGGTGGAGCCAGGATTGGCATCCAGGCATCATCTGGTGGGCAGACCCTGAGTCTGGGGCCAGCCTGCCAGATTTGAATCCTGGCTCTGCCATTTGTTAGCTGTGGCCCTGTATTCTTTTCCTAGGGCTGTCATGACAAATTGCTACAAATAGAGTGGCTAGGGAATTCCCTGGCAGTCTACTGGTTAGGACTCCTTGCTTTCCTTATACGCGGGCCCAGGTTCAGTCTCCAGTTGGGGAACTAAGATCCCTTAAGCTGTGTGACATGACCAAAAAAAAAAAAAAAAAAAAACCACACAACCACACACACACACACACTCACAAAGAAACAATCAACAAAGAATCCTAAATTGAGTGACTTAAACAGCAGAAATGTATTCTCACGGTTCTGGAGGTAAAAAAAAATCTGAACTTAAGGTGTGGGCAAGACTGTGCTCCTTTCAAAGGCTCTGGGGGGCAGCTTCCGGTGGTAGTTAGTAGGCCTCGTGGCTACTCCAGTCTCCGCCTCTGTCTTCACCAGGCTTCTCTCTTCTCTGTCTTTTCCTCTCCTGTCTCTTAGAAGGATGTTTGCCGTTAAATTTAGGGCCCATCTGGGTAATCCAGCATGATCTCATTTCAAGATCCTTAATTACCTCTGCAAAGACTCTTTCCAAATAAAGTCACATTTCCAAGTTCCAAGGATTTGGATATGGACATATATTTTGGGGGCCATTCATTGAATGGTTTTTCCGGTAGTCATGTACGGATGTGAGAGTTGGACCATAAAGAAGGTTGAGCACTGAATGGATGCTTTCAAACTGTGATGCTGGAGATGACTCTTGAAAGTCCGTTGGAAAGCAAAGAGATCAAACCAGTCAATCCTGAAGGAAATCAACCCTGAATAGTCATCAGAAGGACTACTGCTGAAGCTGAACCTCCAATACTTTGGCCACCTGATACGAAGAGAGGACTCATTGGAAAAGACCCTAATGCTGGGAGAGATTGAGGGCAGGAGGAGAAGGGGTGACAGATGATGAGAGGGTTGAATGGCATCACTGACTCAATGACCATGAGTCTGTGAAGCAAACTCCAGAAGATGGTGTAGGACAAGGAAGCCTGGCGTGCTGTAGTCCATGGGATTGCAGAGAGTTGGACACGACTTAGCCACTAAACAACAAGATTGAATCCATTCCAGGGACCTTGGACAAGTCACTTAACCTCTCCGAACCTCAGTCTGTCATCTGCAAAATGGGAATAATACCACTTCATAGCGTTGCCTTGAGGATTAATATGAGATAATCTTTTCTGGGTCCTTCACAGAGGACTGAGCACATAGTACTCAGTAAACATTAGTTATTCTGAACCCAGGTCCAGTCTGGTCTTCTCGTGGGTGTCTCTGAAGTGGCTTTCTTTACAGGTAGACTTAGGTCGGCCTGGGTTCCCTCAGCTAGTAGCAGTAGAGACAAGTCAAGTAGTTGGTGTCTTTTTTTCTTTTTAGTATTTATGGATTTGGCTGTGTCAGGTCTTAGGTTGCAGCATCTAGGCTTTCCTTTGCGGTAAGCAGGCTTCTCTCTAGTTGTGACCTGTATCCTTAGTGGCAAGTGGGATCTTAGTTCCCTGACCAGGGATCGAACCCACGTCCCCTGCCTTGGAAGGCAGATTCTTAACCACTGGTCCATCAGGGAAGTCCCTAGTTGGTGTCTTGATGGAGACACTTTGGCCAAGTTTAAGCCAAGTGTCCCCTGCTGGCTCTTCAGTTGGGGCCTGTTCTGTTGTCCAGGCTCCCCCTTCCTGAGGCCTGCAGCTGAGAGGTGGAGTGGCTTGAGTAGGTCTCCTGTCAATCAAACTCTCACCCTGGCTCCAGGAGGCCGGCCTGGAACCATATGATTTAGAGTGATGGAATGTAAATTGCAGAGAGTCCACGCTTCCCATTCGGCTGAGGTCCCATCAGCATCTCATTCCCCTTCCCTGGGGCTCCTCTAGGTCTCATCTGGTGGATTCTGTCCGCAGAGCACCTCCACGGCAATCACGACGACGGTTTGCTTCTTACATCTATCACACCTGCACTGTGACAATGTAATTTTTATCTCCGGTTGTTTATTTCTCAGATGGAACTACTTGTAAATTCCAAGAGGAAAATATATCCCCGTGTGTGACAGAACCAGCCCAGGGCGATTAATCTGGGCTTTTAGTCTGGGAAGGCAAACCTGGGTGATGCTGCTCCATGTCTAAGTGTCCAACAATCAACCATGGCCATTAATCGTCCCCCGACAAAGCAGTGGCCCCAGGAGGAATCAGGTTCAATAGGATCTGATCCAGCTGGATGGGATTGGGGTCTTCATTCCCCATCTGTTGGGTGGCAAGCAGACCCCTAGGGACAGAGAGTGGGAAGCAGGTGGCTTGAGGCCAAAAGGTAGGGGGAAAGACCAATATTTCAAGGCTTAGTGGACAGTGGGTGTGAGAAGGAGGGGGGACTTAGGGCATCGGTGTGCCCATGGCAAAGGCACAGGCTCGTGTGGTCCCAGCAGATCCAGGTTCAAATCTGAACCTCACTATCTACCATCACTTTGGGGGAGTTCCTTTACCCCTCATGCCAACAGAGGGGCTTCTAGTCTGTAAAATGGAGCAAAGAATATTTGCTCCATAGAGTAACTGAGAGAATTAAACAAGCAACGCATGAAAAGTTCTTACTGCATGGAATGGGTGGTTTGGTTCTTTTTTTTTTTTTTTCCTCCCAAAGGCCTGGGGCAGTGCTCAGGCCGGCAGAAGATGAAAGTCACAGAAATAATCAGAATTCTAGAAGGAATTAGAAGGAATTTAGAGAACACCTCGTGCAAAGTTTAGTAGAGGTTTGGGGAATTGAAGAGACTTAAAAGCTGGATGGAACCCAGTTTCCTGACAGTCACCATGGTACATCACCACATCACACTGCCTCCATTGTAGGGGCTTCAACCTGGGCCTCTCCGCCTCCTGCAGGGCCAACCAGTGGGCCTCAGGGGCCATAACCCCCTGCAAGGATATGCACTATTCTGTGTGTGAGTGCATTTTAATGTCTCCAGAGTTTTTATCAGATTCCCAAAAGGTGCCCCCACTCAAGGATTTCCCTGGTAGCACAGCGGATAAGAATCTGCCTGCAGATTGAACCCATGCAAGGTACATGGGTTCAATCCCTGGTCCGGGAAGATCCCACATGCTGCCGAGCAACCAAGCCCATGTGCCACAACTACTGAGCCTGTGCTCTGCAACAAGAGAAGCCACCACAATGAGAAGCCCACGCACCACAATGAAGAGTAGCCCCTGCTCGCCACAACTAGAGAAAGCCTGCACAAAGTAACAGAGACCCAGGGCAGTCAAATAAATGAATAAAATTTTTCTTAAAAAAAGAAAGAGAGAGTCATGTAATATTAAAAAGTTTTCCCCATTCAAAAAGATTGAGGGCTTTTTTGAACTCTGATATTGACACTATTTGGGGGTGGAGGTGGGGTTATTGCCCAACCCTCCCACCTGCATTTGATGTTCTACACAGCTTTGATCATGATCAAAATCTGACTGTGATCTGGGGGTTTCCTTGGCCTCAGGGCCCCACCATCCCTTCTCATTCTACTCTGGTTCTTACTGTTTTTTCCCTGGAAAACCAGCTTACATGTGCCAGTTAGGAGCAGGCTGTGTGTATGTCAGGGGGTGGGTTCCAGGTTTTGACATTCTGGGCTGGTTCCAGATTTTGTGGAGTTTACACAAATTAGACTCCCCTTTTTATGAAAAAGTATAACAAGTCATGAGAAACTTCCCTGGTGGTCCTGTGGTTAGGAGGCCGCTTTGCAAGGCAGAGGATAGGATGCAGGTTCGATCCCTGGTGGGGGAACTAAGATCCCACATGCCAAGGAGCAACTAGGTCCACGCGCCACAGCCATTGAGCCTGTGTACTCCGGGACCCACAGCTAGAGCCCTCATGCCTCAAGGGAAGATCCCACATGGTGCAATGAAGATCCCATGTGTTGCAGCTAAGACCTGAGGCAGACAAACAAATAAATCATTGTGGTTAATCTCTAAGTTGTGTCCAACTCTTCTGTGAACCCCA